GAGTTAAGTGTTAAGTGATACCAATGTTTCCTAAGTGGTTAAGTGCCTAAAGTGTTCCCTCCTGTGCTCTTAAGTATTCACTGACTAAAGCCAATTCAGGCTTTTTTTAACTGACTCGGTTCTCACACTCATTTTTACTCTTCTTTTTATTGAATTAAATAGTTCAGTAAATGTTAAAGAGTGTTGACTCCTCCCTAGAGTTACCACCATGCATGTCATGGCTCAGTGGCTCACCCAGCAGCACCCCAATACAGGACTCGCCCCTTCCCTCCACTAGTGAATGAGAGAGTGTAGGGGTGTCCTGCATCTTCCCAGTGGTCAGTCCTAGACGTTACAGCCACATTCTGCACTTTATTCATTCACTCTAGGGTTCATTCACTCTAGGGCTCATTCACTCTAGGGCTCATGCACTCTAGGGCTCATTCGCTCTAGGGCTTATGCACTCCAGGGCTTATTCACTCTAGGGCTCATTCACCCTAGGGTTTATTCACTCTTGGGCTTATTCACCCTAGGGCTTATTCACTCTAGGGCTTATTCCCCCTTGGGTTCCGTGGAACACAGTTTGATAACCCCTGTGCTACGCTACCTCTTAAGATACCTCTTAAGACACACCGTTTAAGACACACCATAAGATATAACAATAATGTTTCTCTGCGCGTTAAAAGAAAGAATCTCACTCTTCGTTCTTATTTCCTGTTTATTTCTACCTTTAAGACGCCACTTACTCAACCCCCTTTAGTCCTTTCTTACCCCTTCCTGGGGCTCTTGACCCTTCCCTGCCCTCTCCCACCCCCATACCTGCCCTCTCTTACCCCATACCTGCCCTCTCTCACCCCATACCTGCCCTCTCTCACCCCATACCTGCCCTCTCTCACCCCATACCTGCCCTCTCCCACCCCATACCTGCCCTCTCTCACCCCATACCTGCCCTCTCTTACCCATACCTGCCCTCTCTCCCTCCCCATTCCACACCTTCATTCCCTATTATCCTGTGGCTCCCCCAAAAGGCAATACCTCCTCCGTGACAAAGTTGGTCTCTCGCCGCGTCTGCCATAAGGGGTCGCCCTCTGCCTAAATAAGACGGAAGAAAAAAAATAACTGTCAGGTTTGGCTTGTAGGGCCATGATGGATCTCTTAGATGGTGGTGGTTGGTGGGGGGGTGTTTGTTGGTGTGGTGGTTGGTGGGGGGGTGTTTGTTGGTGTGGTGGTTGGTGGGGGGGTGTTTGTTGGTGTGGTGGTTGGTGGGGGGGTGTTTGTTGGTGTGGTGGTTGGTGGGGGGGGGTGTTAGTGTGGTGGTTGGTGGGGGGGTGTTTGTTGGTGTGGTGGTTGGTGGGGTGTGTGCTTGGTGGTAAGATGGTAATGGTGGTAATTACTGGTTGTGGTTGTCATTATACACAAAACACTCAAGTTGTGTTTGGCCGACCGCCCAGTGCAACAGTTTCCCACCTGTTGATTTACATATATTATAAGGTAAACAAAAATGCTTTATAATTTTATATCTGTTCATACTTTCTTAAATATTTATTGTGAATTTTTCTTATGTAGAATTTCATGTGTATATAATGTTATATATACGAAAGGATTACAATACACGAGTGGTACATGTTGAGAATCTCCTGTAGTTATTCAGAGGGGCCGAGCTGGACTTAGATGTAGATGGCGTTCCCTCTCTTGATCGCCACGCTGCAGCGCTCTGCCAGGAACCTGTCAGCCACTGGATTAAATAACTATATATATATATATATATATATATATATATATATATATATATATATATATATATATATATATATATATATATATATATATGTCGTACCTAGTAGCCAGAACTCACTTCTCAGCCTACTATTCAAGGCCCGATTTGCCTAATAAGCCAAGTTTTCCTGAATTAATATTTTTACTATATTTTTTTTCTTATGAAATGATAAAGCTTCCCTTTTCACTATGTATGAGGTCAATTTATTTTTGTTGGAGTTAAAATTAACGTAGATATATGACCGAACCTAACCAACCCTACCTAACCTAACCTAACCTATATTTATAGGTTAGGTTAGGTTAGGTAGCCAAAAAAAGCTAGGTTAGGTTAGGTTAGGTAGGTTAGGTAGACGAAAAAACATTAATTCATGAAAACTTGGCTTATTAGGCAAATCGGGCCTTGTATAGTAGGCTGAGAAGTGAGTTCTGGCTACTAGGTACGACATATATATATATATATATATATATATATATATATATATATATATATATATATATATATATATATATATATATATATATATATATATATAATGTGTGTGTGTGTTCGTGAGTGTTCAATTGTTTGTATGTATTTTTCATTAGTATTTTAATATTTTTGATCACTTGAATATTTTAGTGTGAGCACCTGGCATGATGCTAGTCGCATGTGCTGTATTGACCTCATTTGTTTGTTTTTATTATGTTTATCATATATTTCTCTGTACTTGCAGGTGTCTGCTACCATGGCGGCTACTACTTCTCCGTGAGTCTCCTCCCGCCACTCTTGTTCCTCTACCTCACTTTACACTGTAAAGTGTAAAGTGTAAAGTAAAGTGTAAAGTGTACTTTACACTTTTTCTAACTACCATTTTGGTTACAAAAAGCGGGTAACTACCTGGTAGTTACTTGTTTTTTTGTAACTACCGGGTACACTGTTGGGGTGAGTTACCAGGGAGTTAGGCAACTCACCACAGCAGTTGCCTAACTACCCGGTAGACTGTTGTGAACTACCGGGTTATCGCGAACAGAAGCATTAGGTGAAAGGAAACGTACTCAACCATTTTCTTTCCCGCCCGGGAATCGATCCCGGGATCTTTTTTTGAGAGTTGAGAACGAATCAGAGAAAAGATCTCTAACCCTGTCTATGTAGCACAGATGAAAATGTGTGTATATATATATATATACACCTTTTTATTTACTGTCCTTCTCCTATAGCATCCCTGCCTTCTTTCTCATTCCCAGTCACCCCTCTCACTCTACCCCTCACCCCTCTACCACCTGTCGTCACCTCTCCGTGGAAAGACATATCTTTCACCCCGGGTGTGACGGCTTAGCAAGGTTACACTCACCTAAACGTCCCACACCTTTCAGACGCAGGCAGCCTCTTGTAACAGCTCCCGGCCGCCTTGCTTCTCATCGTGCCTATTGTAGAAGTCATGTATGACGTTAGCCTCAATTACCTTCCCTTTCTGAGTTTTGTTGTCCTAAACATGTATTTATCCCACACTATAAATATTTTTTTATAAACTTAAACTAAAGATACTTAGACCAACACATAATTTTTAAGATATTTATCAGTGCAAAATTTCGGAGGGTAGAGCGGAGTGTGTGGGCATCTTCACTAATTATGTAGATAGACCTCTTGAGTTGCCACAACGGACAAAATAAGGGCAATTAAAACGATCAAAGCCAAGAAAAGCGACCTAATCTAACCGAACCACGCATAGAAAACGTGGTTCTTTGGGAGCAGCTATTTTTCATATTACTCCTTATTTTGTCTGTTGGGGGATTATAGCGTCAGAATACCTTGTACTCTGTAGCCCTTAACACAACCACCCACGGGATGGATACCGAGTGCATAATAAAGAAAGAATTATGTGAGAGGACAGGTTGTATTTTCAGGTTGTGAGGCTGGACGCGAGGCTTCGTGCTCCACTAGTTTCTTCCTGTGTTGGGTTTATTTGTTATTTTACATCTAAAATTGTAGGTTTTATTTTGGTTACCTTTGGTTTGGTTACCTTACTGGTTTTATTTAATATTACCCATTGATTAGGAATTTACTGTTTTTGTAATATGCAACTTTATTAACTCAGTTGTTTTCATTACCTATTTTCTATTGCATGCTCTCGTTTTCTGCTAAATGCGACCAGTTTTTGTTGCATTCACTATCAGTTCTCTAATTGATTAATTTAGTACTTGCTTTGCACTATATTCACCACTAGATCATTTTCTATGTTCACAATTCACATTTTAAGCTTCATAAATAACTAAGCTTCCGCTTCATGCGCAGCTTCATCTTTGCAATCATTCCTTTGAAGTAATATTGATGGGGTTTTATACGGTGTAGATTAACTTTCCATGGTTTACAAATTTTTTAATATAAGGTAATATATATAATTTTGTGTATAGTTAGGCCTAGTTGAGATTATATTCGACGGTTAGGCTTCATTGGCAATTATTTGTATTTATAGTACGTGGGTAGAACTTATACTGAAGCGCGATGCGAACATAGGAAGTTTGAACATCATCGATTGTGAGTGGTGTGAAGAGTGCTTTTAATTAATAAATAGGTAGTTTGACGGCTGGATTAACGGGCATTTGACCATTGTTCAAAAGTAAGGGCTGCTTTGTATATGGGGACGGGCTGGATGACGGGTTGACGTGGGTGAAGCATTTATACAAATGGTCTTCATTCTGATAAACTGGGGGTTTGAGAAGCAGTGATGCTGCTACAAGGCAGCCACCTCATCAACCTTCATCACGAGTGTTACCCTAACCCTGGGCAGCGTGTGCCTCATCACGTGGGGTTGTGGCCGCAGACTGACGGCGGTGGAGACAGAAACGTGTGGGCCATCCGTCAGTGTTGCAGACGGGCGTGTGTCACCACACCCCTCGCTTGACGTAATAGCATCCAGGTGCTTCATGCTGCTTCTCTCAACCTCTATCTCTCCCTCCACCTATATCTCTCTTCAGTGATGTGCGCTTATTAATGTATTTTCATATAAAACTGAGCTAAAATTCTAACTTATTAGAAAATGGCCACGTTTTAGGCATTTTTAAACCGACGAGCCATTTGTTTCGATCATGAAAATGAAGATGAGAGTTTACACCCGGGTTCCACATCATAGTGGCTTCCTGCTAGTGAAGTATTGCTGTGTTGTAGGCTACAGACTTGCACGCCACACCTCTCATACAGTTGTTAGTCTCTCCTCGTGTATAGTACAGTACTTGATTTTTCCTTTGCTACTTTGGTACTGTCCTTGCTCAAATTATTATTATTATTATTATTATTATTATTATTATTATTATTATTATTATTATTATTATTATTATTATTATTATTATTGGTAGCAGTAGAATAAAAACCCACACATGTATTTATATATTTTATGTAAATATTTGAATTACACCAAGTCTTTCGCACTCTCCTGAGTGTATTATTGAGGTTAAACATTATAAGGTTATTATATTATATATACATTATAACGAGGTTATATATCGAGCACAGTATATGGCTTGGACGAAACTTTCATCTCAACGCCCAATATGGTGTGTGGGATCCTAGGTGGGATCCAGTCCTCTTGTTCCCGATCCGATCGTGTCTCCTCCATTCCCGCCTCCCGGCGTTGCCGTAATGTCGTCTAGGGAACTGTGATCACTTCTCCTTACTGTCATCCTGAGATTCTGAGGCCTGGAGAGTTACACACACACAAATCTCTCTCTCTCTCTCTCTCTCTCTCTCTCTCTCTCTCTCTCTCTCTCTCTCTCTCTCTCTCTCTCTCTCTCTCTCTCTCTCTCTCTCTCCCTCCCTTTTTTCATGTCAACACAATTTAGTTTTTCTATACAGTAATTAGTGTTCTCAGTGTCATATTTCCAGCTCGTCTCGCCTTACTTAAATTATTTTTCACTTTGGGTATTTCCTTTCCTTTTTTCGCCTTCTACTTTTACTTGTTCTTCTTAAGTGTGGTTCTTAACTTCTTATTATTCAAGTTCTTGTTCTTAATTCTTCTTATTTTTCAAATTCTTGTGCTTAATTTGTCTTTTAATCTAATTTTTGTTTGCAATTCTTCCTAGTTATCAGATTCGTCATATTAGTCAACTTCTAGATTTTATTTTTATTTTTCTTCTTTATTCTTATTTTAATTCTTATTATTCTAAATATTCTTGATAGTGTTTTTCTTACTCTTCCTCATTCTTGTTCTTAATTCTTATTTGTTAGTGTCCCCGCGGCCCGGTCCTCGACCAGGCCTCCACTCCCAGGAAGCAGCCCGTAGCAGCTGTCTAACTCCCAGGTACCTATTTACTGCTAGGTAACAGGGGCATCAGGGTGAAAGAAACATTTTTGCCCATTTGTCACCGCCTCCACCGGGAATCGAACCCTGAACCTCGGGACTACGAATCTGAAGCGCTGTCCACCCAGCTGTCAGGCACCAAGTACATTCATGTATCCTGTCTGAGGCACGGAAGCCCCCAAGTCACCATGCTGTTGTGTGTAGCCTAGGGCTAGGGGTTCGTAGACAGATATAGTCAGCCTAATGTCACTTAATCTCTTTATCTATACAAGAGAATGTCTTGTGTGTTTGTCTGCCAAGGGGGCATACGCTGGTAGAGGTCGGCCACATTGACCCTCTTCCCCCACCTCTCCCTTTATGAAATATCGGCTCCTACAGCGATTTTGATGAAATGTGAAATGGGGGATTTTTTATGTAGAATTCTTTTGAATAAAAACAATTTAATTTTTTCGTAATACATTTTCTGAAACAGAAAGACAGATAAGAAAGAATGAGAGAGAGAGAGAGAGAGAGAGAGAGAGAGAGAGAGAGAGAGAGAGAGAGAGAGAGAGAGAGAGAGAGAGAGAGAGAGAGAGAGAGAGAGAGAGAGAGAGAGACTGAGACTTTTAAGAATGGGCTCTAAGAGTATTCCTCAATGGGGCAGAATCTGATAGCCACTTAATTGGTGCCAGCATACCACAGGGAGGTGTGTGCTTAGTCCTTCGTTGTGGAATGTTTACTTCACTGATCTGTAATAACTTCACTCCTGAAGCTCAGGCCAACTTTCAGTAATATCTTCGTGGGGAAGTCGATGATAGGTCACAATTACAACTGACAAAACATAGGCAATGATGATGACAAGAGAGGATGATATTGCAAATCAGACAGGCATACAAATAAGTGGCAAAAAAATAGCGTTTAGTGACGAAGTAGACATGTTGGAAATTAAGTTTGACTTTTCAATGACGATGAAAAGTGACATGCTCACGATAAGTAAGCAAGGCAGCCAGGAATCTTACAGCCCTATGGTGCATCTCATACCTTCCTGACAGCAGGAGGGTTGTTAAACCTTAAAAGAAGAAGTTGGCTCCCATCTTAAGTATGCACTACTCTCCTGGGGTACCTGCCCTCCGTCATTCATTCAACCAATCGGGCTGGACCGGTCTGAATATCAGGGAACTTTAACACCATTAAGATATTTTGAACTTACTCTTATGCATAAGGTCAATATTCTCAAAGTTCCTCGCCTGGCCCAACTTAGTGAACAACCAGAAGTTGGCACCTGTAACACAAGGCATTCAGCCATCAACAGCCTCATGCTGGTATATCTTTCTCAAGAGCGTCACGCCATCAGCGACCATTCATTCCTAGGCTGATTCGTATCTGGAACCTGTTCACACAACACCTTGATACATGTGAACTCAGGTTCACCGACCATATCGCCTTTGATACAAAGTTAGCTCTTGGCTCATCCTGTTCTTTATATGAAAGT